TTCTTTATAACATCTTTGAGCACATTATATTATCTACTTTAAAGTTCTTGTCCACACGTTTCAATATCTAGGCCACTATGGGTGGTGCAGTGGTTCAGCACTAGACTACTGGCTGAAAGGCTGTCAGCTCAAGTACCCGGGGCCTAGCGGTCTGCTGATGAGTGGGAACAGCCTTGAAAACCCTATGGGGCAGCGCTTTGTTGCTCAGTGAAGATTCCACGAGTAGGGTTGTACCTCACAGCAACTGTCAACCAGATCGCCTCAGTGTCTTCTTTAGTGACTGTTCCTTCTCTTGATTAGAGGTCACATTTTCCTAGTTCTTTGAATTTTGTTATTAGCTAATGGACATGATAGACAATGTGATAGGCTCTAGATTCTATTTTCTTCCTTTAAACAGATCTCTTTTTTTATGGGGGAGGGAGGCCAATTAAATGATCAGCTGATCACCCTGAACTTTCAGAAGCTTAGTGTCACACGTAGTTAGAAAGGGTATATTTTGGCCTTGCCTTTAGTGTTAGGGTGATTTTTAAAAACACGGCCTGTCTGGGTTGTCCATGGAAAGTCTAAGGTGGATACCAAACCCTTCTAAATTGGGGTGGAATTCAAACTTCAACCCCTTTCCTCTTTGGTAAGCAGCATAAAGAATCTCTGAGAAGGTTTTTTAGCTTTTTAGCTATTGCTTTCCCCTGGGCTCATGGATATTTCCCTTTTACATGTGCAGTTTAGGGAGCATCTAAGGATTGAGGGGAATTAAGTACAGAAGTGAGGATCTCTTCCCTTCTGCATGCCCTCTTTTAATTCCCAGCTACTCTGGCAGCCCTGAACTCCACCCAGCCTCCAATCCCTTTAGCCAGTAAAACTGGAGCTTTCTGCATGAGCTCCAACTGCTCGATTTTGACTGGGGAGTTTTCCTCATGGGGGAAAATCGGTATAAACACAGATACAATTCACTTCAGGTCTTTTCTTCCAAGAATCAAATACTCTACAGTCTATATCTTCTTTTGGTAAGCCTTTACTGCCTTCAAATTAAAACAATTTAATTGGAAGATTAAAAAAAAATTTTTTTGGGGGGGTCCCCAGAGTTTGTAATAGATATCTGCAGGAAAGTTAGTACAATAAAAACTATTCTGTCATAATCAGTACTGAAATTATGTCATGGAAATTTTAATTTATGTTTTGTGTGTCTATCTTTGTGTGTGTGTGTGTGTGTGTGTGTCTATCTTGAGAGTAAATTATACCTTTCATTCTGACGAACATTTGAGATCATGAAATGACTTATCCTGAAGGGATCTTCAGGTGTTATCCTGAGCTACTTCGTCCTACTAGACACTGATGGTGTGAAATCTATGAAGATTACTCTCCTTCTTTTAAAGGAAGTTTGCTAGACTTCTTCAGGAAATGATTTTCTCTCTCTAGACTCTTCGAACGTTATTCTACAATTCAAGCTCATACGGTGTCTTTAGATGACTCAGTGATTCAAGAAATTATACAGATAGAAGGGTTACATAGGCAGTACTGAGGCCACCCTGTCCTGCCAAGACACACTCTGGAGTCTTTTCCAGATCCCTCTGTGTGCCATCGTTTTGCTAGGCCTTAGCCCGTCAGCTCCCATCGTCCCCATCCTTTTTGTGTTCACTTAGATGCCCT